TGGGAGGACCGGGAAGTGAGCTCTACATTCCTGTGCCTGCCTTCCTGAGTGTCTCACAAGCCTGTGTCCCTCTCCCCGCCCTGGCTGTCAAGTGCTTCCTGCTCCATGATCCTGTTCCCAAAATCCTCTACTTCCTGCCTCAGTGGCCCTTCCTCGTACCATCACCTCCCTAGCCCCAGGCTCACTCACTGCTGCCTCTCTTCAGCTAGGGTTACCAGAGATTCAGAAGGAAAAAGAGGAACTTTCTTTGATTGGGACAATGGCTTCAAAAATGGCACTGTGACTCTGGAGGTTTACAAAGTCAAGACCTGCATGGAGTACAAACAGTTCTAGGCCAGCCTGGGTAACTTAGTATGGAATGGGGAGTGGGAATATAGCTCAGTGGTAGAGCACTTGCCTAACATGCACAAGGCCTTATGCTAGAGGAGAGGAGAGGAGAGGAGAGGAGAGGAGAGGAGAGGAGAGAAGGACTCTGAGCAGAGGAAGGGACTCTGGGTCACCAGGACTGACAGGTGTCATGCCAGCATCACTGCTGTCAGAACACACTGAAAACAGTGCAGCTGTGTGGAAGCCGTCTGAGTGCCACACCTGCCAGGGACAACATTTTCACTCTGGGCAGGTTATATTGAGTAGGCAAGGAAATTGAACACAACCTGAAAAACGTATCCCTCTGGTGGGTAGGGGAATAAAAGAGGGACACTTTATCTCCTGTAGGGAGACCTTCAGGCCCTCTGTCTGGGAGGGCACAGACAAGAAGGTGCTGGACAATGGACTTCCACCTCCAAACCACCCAGCCACTTTCGGGGGAGAAGGAACCTTCAGAACTTGCTTTCCAGGCAGGAGCAGGTCTCAACATGAGAACCTCCTGGCCAGAGCCTGATGGTAGCACAAACTCATGCCCAGGCGAAAAGGAAGCACTTTGAAAAAGGTGGAGTTCAGTAAAGCCTCCTCAGCACCTGGGCTTTCCCCTGCTGCCCTTCCCACACACACCCACAGACCCAGTCAGGCCTACCCAGGGTTCCTGGACCTTGCTTGGCTAGCTAGGAGGGGGTTCCCCTCTCCTCCCATGCCACAGATAGTATCATGATGACCCAGCAATCCAGACTCAGTCACACCACTGAGGAGAGGCAGGTCTCTGGGATTACACCCAGGCTTCCTGACAAAAGAAACTGTCGCAGCAGCAAAAACTCCTCCTCCTGCTGCCTCCACCCACCACCCCCTGAGAACACTGCTCAGGTGCATCATCTGGCGAAATAATGTCTCAGAGCTATAAAGTGCTGATGGTGACAGGGTTACGCTTGACTGGCCCCAGTCACTCCCTCCCACCTTTCCTGCTCAGGGTGCAAGGAAAGCCCAGACGGAGACAGCTCAGGAAGGCCTAATGGGGCAATGAGCATCTTGCCATCGACCTGTGGGGTACAGTACAGAACCAGGAAGGGGGACTGCTCAGAAGTGGGGGCGAGGATTGGGCCAGAGGGCTAACATCAAGAGCAAGTATAAGGAAATTGGACTCAGACAGGCATACGAAGCCCCTGAAGGTTGCTAGCAAACCATGTATCAAGGTGATGTTTGACTACTAACACTATTTAGAATGGCTAGGGTGTGATAGTGTTGAAGGGGTGGTTAATTGGTAATGTTACTGTTTTTAAGTTCTCTGCACACAAACACATCTATTACCGTACCTACCTGCCCAGAACACACTGTGCTGTGCAAGGCCACACTGCTGCAGAGAGGTGAAAGTGGGATTAACCTGGTCCACCCAACTCCACCTTCTGACTCGAGCCTTCCTCCCTCTCTGGTGTCCTTCCTGCTGCCCTCTGACTCCTCCGCTGTCCACCTCCAGTGGGGTTCTCTTGTCCCCTCCCTAATCTCCTGTGACTCTTTGTCTGACCTTAGAGTTATGCAGATCCCTTTCTTCCAAGAATCAAAGCAGGAGAAAGATCTGGCTCCATCCTGAGAGTTCTTGTATTTCTGTGACCCCACTGTCTTCAGGGCCGCATCTGTCTATGCCCTGAGGCTCCTGTTCCTAAAATACCTGCACAACAACCAAACACCCCTCTCTCCTTTCTCTGCTTTGTCTTTCTGCTTTTAACCCTTGAAATGCATTCATTCATTCAACAAAACCCAACAGCATGTCTACCCATACCCTCCCAGCATCCAGTGCGGAAACTCATGATGGTGTTGCTTCCAAGAGCTAGCTCTCCATCCAGGGCAGACAGATGACAGCAGACAAGTCCATGCAAGAGAGTGACTCAGGTGGTAGGGGTGCTCAGGAGAGGAGGAAGCAGGCTAGCGGGAAGGGAACCCCCCAAAGCGAGTGAGAAAGTGGCATATGAACAAAGACCTGAAAAAGCTGAGGAAGGTGTTAGAGGTGAAACAGCCCCAGCAATAAAATCAACAAGTGAAAGCCCAGATGTGGTGGTGCACACCTTTAATTCCGGTGCTCAGGAGGCGGAGGCAAGGCCAGCCTGGTCTACAGAGTGAGTTCCATGATGACCAGGGCTACATGGAGAAGCCCTATCTTAAAAACAAACAAACAAACAAACAAAAATAGCAAACAATAAATGCAGCAAGAGAGTCCTTCCTGAGTGGTAGACAGGCAGGAGTGGCTGGGGCCGAGTGAGCAATGGAGCAGTAGAGGTAAGCGCAGTCAGCAAAGGACTGCAGAGTCACTGCAGAGAGGCATTGGCTCTGAAGGTCCTCAGCAAAGATGTGGCATGGTTTAAAAGGTCTCTGAAGGACCCCTTGACCATGGTGTTGAGAATGGTCTGAAGGAACAGGGACAAAAGCCAGAGATGTCCCAGGAGCATGAGTCAGTAGGCCCAATGAGGAGCAAACAACGGGCTCCAGCTGGCACAGCAGCATGGAATATTCTAAGAAGCATGTGGGGTTCAGATATGGTTATGGTGAGTGTACTGTGGTGGACGGAGTGAAACACTGAAACCCAGAGAAAAGAATGATTCCAAGACTACCGCATGAGCTATCACACAGACAGTGAGACTGGCAAATGAGAAATACGAAATAGAAAGTATTAGGGGAAGATGCATTGCTTGAGGTGCCTATTTGATATCTAAATGGGGATACTGATTAAAATATATGCTTGGGAATCGGGAGAGATGGTGCAGTGGTTAAGAGTATGCATTGCTCTTCCAGAGGACCCAAGTTCCACTCTCATCACCTACACTGAGCTCCAAACCCGCTATCACTCCAGCTCCAAAGGATCCCATTGTCCTCTTCTGGCTTTCGGGGGTACCTGAACTCTCATGCATGTACCTTCCACACAGAGATACACACACAGGCACATATTAAAAATAAAATAAATCTTAAAGAGGACATAAAATACAAGGGTAGTCTCAAGTACAACTATGCATTGGTGCTCACTGACAGGCAGGGTCTTTAAAGCCCTGAGTTTGTATAAAATCACCAAGGAATGCTCATAGGCAAAGATGATAAACAGTCAGAGGTCTGGCCCATGCACACTGGGTATGTAGAGCTCGGAGATGTGACTGGCTAAGAAGATCCAAAAGGAATTGGGAGAATACAGTATCCAGAATGAAAAGAAGGTTGTGCTTGGAAGGTGAAGGTGTATGGATTATGTCAAACACTGCTGATAGATCAGCAGGAGTGAGGACTGAGGAGAGCATGGAGATCAGCCACAGAGGTCTCTGGTGATCTCTACTGGAAGTGTTTTCCTGATGTTTATTTTCCTTCTCCTTATATTTTTGGTTGTGAACCTAGCCTTTAAAGGCTGAAACATCTCTCCAGCCCTTCCTTCTCCTTCTTTAGACAGACAGTTGACAGAAAAAAATAATGCTCACCTGAGTAGGTTTCTCATAGAAAAAGCACTGGTATAACTTTATAAATATGTATGTATGTGTATGTGTATGTATATATATGCATATATATGTGTGTTATATCATATATACTATACCATATATGATATATGTGCCATTCATATATCAATATGTATATCTATAACAAATATTCCCCAAGCATTCATGCAAACAATGTTTCCCCAAGCATAAAACAAAGCTATGCACTATAATGTAAAAAGGGAGCAGCAGCTTGGAGCCATGAGTATCTGTAATATTGCCAACTGTGATCATCTTCACTGGCTTAGGACTTTTCATTTTGTATCCAGGTCTTTACTGCTTTGTTTCCATAACCCAACCAAGGAATTATGAATGGTTCAAGGAACCTGTGAGGATGGGGCTGTAACTCAGCTCCAGGGTATGCCTGGAACTTGAAGGTGGAGGCTCCAAGTTATGTGCATAACTCTACACATACTATCTGGGACAGAGTAGAGACTGGAGAATAAATGTCCTTTTAGAGTCTCGAATCAGAAATGTGTCAGCATCAGCCCCTGTAAACAGCCAGACCATGAAGTGTGGACAGGGCCCAGCAAAGGGCCTTCTAAGTATTGAATATATCTGCAGAGATGCATCGAGCTGTTTTCTCCCTGCAGGATTTCTTCCTTGGAGCTGTGCATGCCGTGTCCCCTATGCACCCCCTCCTGCCTTGAGAGAATTAGCTTTGGGTATCCACATTTCTCCAGAGCCTCTGGCTGGAACTGTTAGCATTCTAACTCTCTAAGTGTGGTTAGCCACACTTAGAGTGGCAAGGGGAGCCTTTGAATTTATGAGCAAAGCAAATTAATGTCCCCATAATGGCAATTGTGGTGGACTTAGAGGGAAAATAAGACTATAATGTTTATGTGTTTATATGTTTTTAATGTTTATAGGTTGCCTGCTCCAGCCCGTATCCTGATGAGAATAGGTGTTGCCTAAATTAGTTCACTGTGAAGGACGTTATAGACAAGAGTTTCTGCTAACTACCCAAGCTCATAAATGCCTTTAAATGGCTTTTTTTGTTTTTATGAGGCCAATCCTCACGTCCACACACACATAAAAAGATGAGAGGGATCCACTAGCCTCACAGAGACTCCCAGCTCCAGCTCACTTACTTCATATTGCTCCTCAGCTGTCACCCACAAAGCCACCATGTCTTGCCGCTCCTACCGAGTCAGCTCTGGTCATCGGGTTGGCAGTTTCAGTTCTTGCTCAGCAATGACCCCTCAGAATCTGAACCGCTTCCAGGCCAGCTCTGTCTCCTGCAGGAGTGGGTCTGGCTTCCGTGGCTTGGGTTGCTTTGGTAGTCGGAGCGTCAACTTTGGATCATCCTCACCTAGGATAGCAGTTGGATGCTCTCGTCCTATCCGCTATGGAGTTGGCTTTGGAGCTGGCAATGGAATGGCTTTTGGCTCTGGTGACGGGTGTGGAGTTGGTCTGGGATTTAGGGCCAGCAGTGGTGTTGGCCTAGGGTTTGGAGCTGGCAGTAGCCTTGGCTATGGTTTTGGCGGCCCTGCCTTTGGCGGTCCTGGCTTTGGCTACAGAATTGGAGGAATTGGAGGTCCATCAGCCCCCTCTATCACAACTGTGACTGTTAACCAGAGCCTTCTGACTCCCCTCAACCTGGAGATTGACCCCAATGCTCAGAGGGTGAAGAAAGATGAGAAGGAACAGATCAAGACCCTCAACAACAAGTTTGCCTCCTTCATTGACAAGGTACCTTGCTGGCTGACCCCTGGGATAGGCACTAAGAGTTAAGGGGTGCTGGGATGCTCTTTACCTTCAAAAAGAGCTGACCTGGGTCTGAGCCATTGGTTTTGATCCCAAGTACTTAAGGCATCTGACAAAGGCATTGAGGGATGGATATCTTGTAGATTATTCTACACGGAGAATAGACACACCAGAGGAACTGCTGCAAGGTGCGACAGACTAAGATGCTGGTCAGTTTCTGGAGAAAGGGAAGATGATCCATCCAAATCTATGGGCATACAGGCAAACCAAGCCCTATTTCTTGGTTACTTAGAAATGTCTCCGACACAGGTGGAGGCTTCAACCAGGTGTTCAATTGACTCATGCTTAAAATATTTCATTCTTTAAGATCATGGTTTAATTATCATAGTTCCTGAGGCAGATAATCTCATCCATTCAGTCTCAGGAGAATGGAGTGGAGTGATTTTCATGTAAAAGACAAAGAATTCATTTACCCAACATAGGCTACCAAGATATGGTTAAGATTGAGGGTAATACAGAAGGCCACCAATAGCTGGCATAGATAAATAATAGTGTGAATTTTCCAAAAGTCCTGGTTGGCCATGTCTGCACGGGGATGAGGCTTGGTCTCTGCAGAGGGAAAAGAACCTCTGTAAGCTCATTTTTGTCTCGGAGCCAAGGAGCTTGGCTGATAGAATATTGGAGATGCTGTTCATGGTGTACAGTCCCAGGTATCCACCTCCTAGTACCACAGTGACCCCCAATGTACTGTCACTGCCCTGTGTACCCTGTTGGGAATGGCCCGTATCTACTCTCAGACACAGGCAAGCCCAGCAGAAGCCCCATCCTTCAAACCTCTTCATGATTGGCTGGCACCTTGCTTAGGTGTGGAGGGGAGAAATGATACTGAAACATCTTTGTTAGTGGCAAAGTCTAGCTGGGTGTTAGGAGAGGGTCACAGACCTGTCACAGACCTTCTGATGAGTTAGAGGCACAACCAAAGCCAGTAGAAAGAAGAACACCGATAATACCTGATAGAGTCTTCACAGGCCATCTGAAAAACTGGCCTACATAGGTGCACTGTCAAGCCCTTTATATGTTGTCTTTGCTCCTTGTATGTAGGTAAGGTTCCTGGAGCAACAGAATAAACTCCTAGAGACCAAGTGGAGCTTCCTCCAAGACCAGAAATGTGCCCGGAGCAACCTGGACCCTCTCTTTGATAACTATATCACCAGCCTGAGGAGGCAGCTGGAAGTACTAGTCAGTGACCAAGCTCGGCTGCAGGCTGAGAGAAACCATATGCAGGACATCCTTGAGGGCTTCAAGAAAAAGTGAGTATACCTGGGCTGCCCACACCTGGGCTCTGTATTTCCAGAAGCAGCCGGCCAATGCAGATGAGATACTATTGTTATTGGCTATGAAACCCAGCTCCAGGATGCATGGCGGACAGTGATGTGAGAAGTGGGATACGGAGGCCCTCTGTGAGGAAAAAGAAATTTGGGGATGGGGAGGGGCTTGTTCTTAGCACTGCCCATAAATTGGTTCTGGGAGAGAAGCCTTTAGTTTTGAAAGGAGTTCCCACACTCAGCATTGTGCCAGGCCCTATTTCCTCTGTGCTCAGTTGTAATGCCCCTGAGTTATTTCTCCCAGAGATGTGTAGGAATGGTCCAGATTTTCAAACCCTAAATACAAGTTGAGAAAAATGAAGGATTTGGAGGGCCACTAGGTCAGAGAAAGTTTTAAAGAGGAGACTGAGATACGCTAATCTGTGAGTAGCAATGGAGAACCATGTGCCTCAATAAACCAGGATCTTGTTGGGGGATTAGTGAGGGGTTGGGAGTATCACGAGTGAGTGAGGGCTTACCCTCTTCATCTCCATGCCCCCAGGTATGAGGAGGAGGTGGGATGCCGAGCCAATGCTGAGAATGAGTTTGTAGCTCTGAAGAAGGTAAGACGCGGCAAGCAGCCAAGGGAAGTTCTATGTGGAGGCGCCATGTTCTCCAGAACCCCAATCTCAGCCCCAGAAACTTCCCAGGCAGCCCTGTGGTGGCTGAAACTGCTCACCCAAACAGCAGAACTCAAAAGATCACATCTGGCTCCCTTCAAAGTTCTGACTGGACCACAGATTGAGTTTGGGTGCTGTGAGTTTGAAAAAGATGGACTCTTCGGTTTCATGAAGTACCAAGGCTTCCTTTATTTTTACCTGTAAAAATATTTGGTATTTGGTGTGCACAGGAAGGGCACATGTATACTGCGGTGCGTATGTGAACAACTTGAAAGAGTCAGTTCTTTCCTTCCACCATATGGGACACAAGGATTGCACTCAGGTCTTCAGTCTCCATGGCAATCTCTCACCTCCTGAGTCATCTCTATGGCCCCCCTTCTTTGCTTTTAAACAAGCATGGATAAAGTCCAGCCCATGCGTGTTTCCACGTTACAATAGGGGAAGAAGGACAATCACACAAGGAACTGATGGCTCCTCCTGCCCATCTCTGAACCTCTAGGTAGGAAGGGTGAACAGCATAGGCAGTGAGCTGATCCCTCTTTTTATGCAGGATGTAGACACAGCTTTCCTGAATAAATCGGATCTGGAAGCCAATGTGGATGCCCTGGCCCAGGAGGTTGAATTCCTGAAGGCTCTGTACCTGGAGGTGAGGCTCTTCTCTAAGCCTTTAAGGATGAGACTGCTCAGTATGCACACACAAAGGCTGAGTCAGGCCTTTGGGTTTCCAGGTACTGGTTTCATACATCTAGTTCCTCCCCCACTCAGACCTGTGTGCTCTCTGTCAGAGTGTGTGGGAGTGAGGAAGGCCAGGGACTATACAGAACACCTCCACAGCCATGTTAAGCCTGACAGTGACCTCCTGTCATGTGAGATCCAAACCTTCATTGGCCAAGCTAAAGGCTAGGGTTTGGAATGCCTGGCAAATGATTTGCCAGAAGAAAAGAAGTGCATCTGATTTAGCTAGCCAAACCAATGCCATGTGCTTCCAAGCCGCCTATGTAGGCTGAAGAGGGGTCAGTCAAGGCTACAGGGGAATATCTCACCAGATTGGAGACCCTGATTCTCTGAAGCTTCCAGATCTAGGAATCTCTAGGATCTACTATGTTTTAAAATATTGTTAACCTCTCAATGGACCATGAACAGCCCAGTCACTTTGTGGGTAGACCAGCGTGAACTTACACAGCTGTCACCAGTCACCTGAGGTACCCCTGTTTCTGACAGTCACTTAAGCTAGAGTAAGCAACTGGAGGTATGCACTAAGCACGTAGACCAGCGTGAACTTACACAGCTGTCACCAGTCACCTGAGGTACCCCGTTTCTGACAGTCACCTAAGCTAGAGTAAGCAACTGGAGGTATGCACTAAGCATACAGCAAGGGTTCTAAAGTCAGACTCAATTTCTTCTAGAGAATGCCTTTTTTTTGAGCTCCAGGCTAAATCGGGGAGGGGTCTTGCAATGTCATAAAGCAAGAAGCAATGCTCCCTGTGTCTGATTCACAGGGGACCCTGTGACAGAGTCCCAGCTGCTGGTGGACCACTGAGCCCCTCTGCATTGCTGCTTCTATAAAGCAAGAAGCAATGCTCCCTGTGTCTGATTCACAGGGGACCCTGTGGCAGAGTCCCAGCTGCTGGTGGACCACTGAGCCCCTCTGCCTTGCTGCTTCCCCAATACAGGAAATCCAGTTGCTGCAGTCACACATCTCAGAGACATCTGTCATTGTGAAGATGGACAACAGCAGGGACCTGAACCTGGATGGGATCATAGCTGAAGTCAAGGCCCAGTATGAGGAGGTGGCAAGGCGCAGCCGTGCTGATGTCGAGGCCTGGTACCAGACCAAGGTACCAGAGCAAGGCAACAGGAGACTGGGGGAGGGGAACATGTGCCCTGGGGTGATGACTTTGGTCTGAGGTCTTCAACCCAGACTGTGTATGGTCAAAATGATGCATTCTGTCCCCAGTATGAGGAGATGCGGGTGACGGCTGGCCAACACTGTGACAATCTACGAAATACTCGGGATGAGATCAACGAGCTGACCCGGCTGATTCAGAGGCTGAAAACAGAGATCGAGCATTCCAAGGCCCAGGTGGGAAAGGAAAGGAGAGAAAACCACAGAGGGAGGAGAGTCAGGGTGCCTGGCTTTGAGAAGCCCCAAGTCTGGTGAGGTAAAAGACCCACCAAGACCTGGACACAAACCAGAGGGCTATCCAGAAAAACTTCCTGGAGGAGAGAAATACGGACCAGAAGGAAGGCCTAGATAGGGGAGGCAGAAAGAATAGAAGACTCTGGAATCCTTAGATCTGTCTCAAGGCAGTGAAAACCCAGTGGGGAGTGAGAGTTCGGAAAAGCAATACCCCACCCCTTGCTGACCACAACCACCATCCCTGGGAAAGCAGCCACCGAGAACTCCAATCTAGACCTGACACTGGGTTTCATCCCTATCAGTAAGGGCAGTGTTGCCAACCCCACTGGGGGAACCCTGTGTCCCTAGCAAAGCCCACTTGCAGACTCCCTTTCCTGCAGTGCGCCAAGCTGGAGGCTGCTGTGGCTGAGGCAGAGCAGCAGGGTGAAGCGGCCCTCAATGATGCCAAGTGCAAGCTGGCAGATCTGGAGGGTGCCCTGCAGCAGGCCAAGCAGGACATGGCGCGGCAGTTGCGAGAGTACCAGGAGCTCATGAACGCCAAGCTGGGCCTGGACATCGAGATCGCCACCTACAGGCAGCTGCTGGAGGGCGAGGAAATCCGGTGAGAGCGGGAAGGCGTGAGGTCAAACATCCAGAAAGATTAACAAAACAAGGGAGGGGAGCCAGACCAAGAAACCTGGGATGAGCAGTCTCTAGAGAGAACAATACATTTTCCAAAAATATTAGTCGGTTGCCCTTGACACGGGATTAGGAGGTGCTAGGCCATCAACTCTGTTTACAAGTGAGCTGCACCAGGTCATAGGCATTTTGCCTGGCTGATTAATTGGTTAAAATGATAATAGGTCATCAAATAGTTTAGTTCAACAATTTAGAGGCAATCTCTAGAAACATGGTGTACTTCAAAATGCGCTTAACAGTTGGGGATGCTGATCTACCCAAACAAGGAGCCCTCTGACAGCAAGCAGGCCCATAACACATGTGAATACTTTTGTTTCTTTCTCTTTCCAGGATCTGTGAAGGTGTTGGGCCAGTAAACATATGTAAGTATCTAGCCTTTTCTCAGACCATTTCTTAAGGAAGCTCCCGAGATTAGCTGGTCTGGCCAAGACTGTCAGGGGAGCAGACCAGGAGGGTCCCTGGACTGGGAGCGTGTACTCAGCAGAGGCTCGGGAACAAAGAGTAGACAGTGGCTTATGGAGCCTTCAAAGTGGGAGAAAGTTCCTGGAAAGAGACTTTTGGCTTTTAGTGGCCGTATAGGCCACCATCACAGAGACTTAGAAGGAATGGAAAAGCAAAGAGGTGACTCATATCTGGATTGCAGGGATGGAACAATGCTAAGCAGCTTCCTGTTGCTTCTAGAGTATGGCCTATTCCCCAAGCAAGTGTGCTACTGCACTGTCACTGCACCCCTGCTCTGTAGAATTCCAGTCTTCTGGAGAAGGGGAGTATTAGCCAGTACCATGCTAATCCCAGAAAGACACTGCCAGGTGGGGGAGGGCAGAGCACACCAGCTATACTCCCAGAGAACCCCGATCTGCTGGGAGGCCAAGAGACAGCAAAGCTCTTCTCCAGAAAGTCAAGCCCAGGGGCCATGGGGGCAGCACAGACGCTGGTGCAAAAACAGAGATGTCAAGCTTACAAGCAGGGCCGCTTTAAGTAAGGCTTAGCTGGATCCCGGCCCTGTGGGATTGGTGATGTCCAGTGAAGCCCAGCGGGGCTACAGAGCAGAGTCATCAGTGGAGCAGAGATGGCCGGCCCGGAAATGGCGCTGGCAGGATCAGATATCTGATAGATACATGGGAACAAGCAAGAGGTACCAGTATAATCACAGAGAAACCACCCTGTGGTTCTGTGACGACCACTGCTCCCTGGATGGTACATCTCACACTTGACCTCCTAAATCCACCTGGCGTGGGCCACAGATAAGTGGTAGTTTGCCGACATTAATGGCAGTTGATCTATGGGCATGGGCAAATGCCCAGGGGTTAAGGCAGAGATCTCCCACTTCCACCTGGATGGCTGTTCTTCACATAGTCTCAGTCTCTGAGCCACTCAGGCAAGTGGCTAATGAGTCCTGGAGTCAACATTCCTTTCCTTTCTTCTCCACAGCTGTGAGCAGTTCTCGGGGAGGTGTGCTGTGTGGCCCAGAGTCCCTGGTCTCGGGATCCAGCCTTTCCCGAAACTGTGGGGTCACCTTCTCCAGCAGCAGTGGCATCCGTACCACTGGAGGCGTTCTGACTTCCTCATGCCTGAGGGCTGGTGGGGACCTGCTGAGCTCTGGGGCCAGAGGAGGCTCAGTCCTGGTGTCGGATACCTGCGCCCCTAGCATCCCCTGCCCACTTCCCACTGAGGGTGGCTTCAGCAGCTGCAGTGGTGGCCGTGGCAACCGCAGCTCAAGTGTCCGCTTCTCATCCACCACTACCTCTCGCAGGACCAGGTACTAAGCACCTATCCCCAGATGGCTACCGCTGGAGAAGAACCAACCAAGCATCCCCTGCTTCTGTCCCCTGAGGTGCATAAACTTTGGTCCTGAGGGACCTCCGGCCACTCTTCCTGCCAGTACACAGCCCTAGCGTATGTCCTCTTAAAGGACGTTTCATTGTGTAGACACAGCATCCACAGCCCCAGTGGCACTAGCTTCTCCCTAACTCCCAGTTTTTTTCCTGTGGGGATCCCCCTCAGCCTTCAGACACAGTAAATGTGTTTTCAGCGATTACTACAGACCGCACTGTGCCTTGGAGAAAGGGACCATTCTGAGCAGCATGAGCACAGACCCCGGGGGCCTGCAGGCATCCTTAGCCATTTCTTGCCCCTCCCTCTCCCCTTCCCTGGCAGAAGAGGTTTCTTTCTCCCTTCCCTGGCCTCAAAGGGCACAGTCCTTGGTGACCACAGGGATTCCTAAGTCCCCGTGATGGCTCTGCCAGTGGCTCATCCTCGCCATTTTTCTCATGGTTGTTGGTTTATCTGTGAAATGTGACTCTGCCTAGCAGGTGGAGTGCACATGGAGAGGTGGCTTTTCAGCTCCGTGTGCCTTGTCCTGTGGTGACATGAGGCCCAACTCTGCGCCCTGTTGCTGAAGCAGGGCTGTGTCCCCAAGCCCCAGGAGGGGTGGTGGAGGGGTGGGTGGGTGCCTGTTTGTATTACTCTTTGTGTTCTTGGGTTTTCAATAAACTTGCCAAGCTAACTTCACAAGGACTCTGCCTAACTTCACTGAGGAGGTGGCCTACTAGACCTCACTAGTTTACCTTAATGAGAGTGTGACTAGAGTAGGGGCTGGTGTCCTGGACCCATGGAAAGAAATGATACAAGCCTTTCCAGGGAGGGTCTTACAGGTCTGTAAGGCAGAGGTGACAAGGAGTGGAGGTTTTGAAAACAAGGGCCAACCCACCCACTCTTCTCCGGGTCAACGAGCCCTCTTCCTGACCACACTGAATTCTTCCCGTTTTCAGCCACTCCCACCCCACCACCAAGCCCCTGAGATCACCACAATGACATCCTTGTCTCTCTGTCCTCACTCGTGTCTCCATTCCACTTACTCAGCACAATGCTTCTAGAGAAGTCTTTCCACACAGAAAACTTACCACAGCTGCCCTGATTAAAGTCTTCAATGGCATCCCATTGCCTTCCAGAAGTAACCCTTAGCAGGGCATTTTGGTCCTGAGGAATCTGTCCACATACCCCTACTCCCAGCCATTCCCTCAGCTGCAGCCTACTTCCAACTTGCCAATTTTCATTCATTCCCTTAATAACCATCTGTCCAGTGTCTATTATGTGCCAGGCATATGCCTGGCATATAACTGATAATAAAATTTGGTCCTTGTCTTCAAGGGGCTTCCAGTATAGTCTTCAGAGGAAGATAGACACATAACTGGGACTTGGGAGGTTGAATGCTGTGCTAAGGCCAATACGGATGTCACAGTGTATGGGAGGAGGACCAACACAGACTTGGGCGATGTTAGCTTCCTAAAGGATGTGGTACTCAGCAGAGATGCAAAGGATGGTGAATAAGTCATCTAAGTGGGGCAAAGGGTGCCAAGAGAGGCCACAGTATGTGCAAAAGCCTAGAGACTGTAGATAGCATGATAGTAGGGGGACCTGCTGGGAACTGGATAGAATGTTATAAGAGGTCAAGACACAACAGCAAGGGGAGGGCAGGAGTCCATGAGCACAGGATGCAGCCATCAGGCTGCACAGCTGACAGGGCCCAGATCTCAGCCAAACTCAGCACAGTCCTAAGGCAGGAGCACACCTAGCTTCTTTGCACATCTAAGGCAGGAACACATCTAGCTTCCTCATACATCTAAGACAGGAGCACACCTAGCTTCTTCACACATCTAAGGCAGGAGCACACCTAGCTTCTTCACACATCTAAGACAGGAGCACATCTAGCCTCCTCACACATCTAAGGCAGGAACACATCTAGCTTCCTCACACATCTAAGACAGGAGCACACCTAGCTTCTTCATACATCCTGCCTTCCCAGATCCCAGCCAGCAGCCTGAACACCTGCATGTCACCCTTCTCAGACTCAAGATTTACCAGTCCCCTGCCCTCTGCTCCAGGACCCCTGAATATTCTCCTGATCTCTACATGCTGAGTCACATGCATCCCTCAGAGGCAGCAGCATGGAAGCGGCCCCAAGAGGCCTTGTTGTCTGTCTCAACCAGACCAACAACCACCCCATATCAGTGACCAATTTTATTTCTTTATTGTCCCAGCTCCAAATTGACCTCTAGCTACCTGTTCTTCAAAAATTCATCTTGGCCCTTTTTGTTTGTGTTACCTGACACAACATTAAGATTGGCCGGTAGACACCTCAATGCACATTAATGGCACAGGAATGTGGAATTTTCCTTCCCTTTGCTCTCTCAGAGGCTCTTGTTCAGCTTCTCCAATGCTGGATTCCTGCAGCAGAGGTGGTGTCTATAGCGTCAGGTGCCTGCAAGTGCCAGGCAATGTGGCACTTAGGGACCAGTGGCTCCATTCTACTGTCTATGCCCAAATCTCTCTCTCTCTCTCTCTCTCTCTCTCTCTCCCTCTCCATCAGAAAATCTTGTCAGCTTAGCACTCAAGTGTTACCACTTCCCTGTGTGGTACTGACACCCAAACTGGACAACTACAGTCAACTCCTAACTGAAACTGGTCATTGCTTCATCTGCCTTCCTTGAGTCTGTGTTCCAAGAGTAGCCAGAGGGATCCTGTGGAAAACAAGCCCATGGGCTGAGGATGTAACTCGGTAGCAAAGTGTGTTCTTTGCACAAGCAAAGCCTGTGGTCCAATCCTGATGTGGAGATTTTTTAAAAACATTACAATAAAATGTAGCACTCTAGATAAATTCAAAGGCAGCTGTTTGAGTATTCGGAAAAGTAAACAAAACAGGCAGATGGTGGCAGAAGGCAAGGCTTTAAGAAGTGATCAAGTGTTTATTCTATCCCTCCCTGCCCCTGCCTCAGGCCTAGAGCTGAGGGTGGAGCAGGAAAGCATCGGCTTGGACAGCTGAGATCCCTGTGAAAAGCCCACCTTTCTACACAAAGGAAAAGGAAAGGGACTCTTATGAGTTGGAAAACACTGAAGCAAAGCCCACATTCTGTTTTCTCTTGTGGCTTTGCTTGAGGGCCAGGCCCTGCAGGACTTGGCAGGACTTTGTAGCAGGGTTGTGGTGAAAACCCTGAGTGATTTGGTGGCTCTGGCATGAGGAACCAGGAAAAGAGGTTCTGGAAAAGGGCTGGTGGGGTCAAGCTGAACAACTGGAGAAGGAAATGCCTGTGTGTGAATCCACCAACATCCTAGGCTCGCCTTGAACTTCTCTGTCATGGAAAACCCAAAGCAACCTTCCAAGAGCTTAGAGATTTGAAGTTAGACTCATAGCTCCACCCACATTTCTAACAAAGCCCAGAGTGACATGGCATAGAACAGTCACTAAGCAGCCAGCACAGGCTGGAGCATGCAGCCTGAAACTGGCTGGGCTGACTCCCCACTAAAAACAGAGCAAACCAAACTCAAACATAAGGACTGTATCAGGACCCTGAGTCAACAAATCACCAATTTCTCTCTCTCTCTCTCTCTCTCTAC